TTCGTATCAGGTATTCTTCTCTCTTCCTTTTGGTTTAAAATCTGGTCCAATTTTGGTGCAAAAACGATCCTACAAAAATGCAGTTTTTTAAAAACTACAAATGCGATTCCCGGAAGGTTGCAAGAAAATTTTGAAATTTCACACAACCATCTAGCATGGTTCAGCCTTCTATATGATGAATCTAGCCTTCTTCAGTGGTATCAGAGCTAGGTTCAATCTTGGACCAAAATAAACCAGATCTAAAACATGACTGAAATCGATAGAACTATTGTGGCCGATTTGTGTAGTTTGCAATTCTCTGATATGAGAAATCGGTTCTTAGATTTTGGGCGGTTTGATCTGAAATTAATTTTATTATATTCTGCTATAATTATTTGGCTCTTGGGTTGTCTGTGTGGTGGAGATCGAATTCTTTATTGGCGCCAAGATTTGTGCACCCGGGAATTATTTATTTGATTATTGGTTTGTAAATATTTTTTTTCTTTTTAGAAAAAAATGTATTAGGATTTATTCTAATGTAATTAATAGAAAATTAGGTTTTTCTATTTTTTTACATTGGAAGACTTGCTAGAGCACGCAGGGAAGAAGAAGGAGGATTTTGTAGAAAATTTGCAATCTACGATTAACAGTTTTTTGCAGGTTTGTAGTTTGTCTAGATCAGATTCTGACCATCACACTTGTAGGGCTAGATTATTATTTATTTTGTTGTGATTGATTTTCAATTTTGGCTGTTAAAATTTCAGATCAAATTATTGTGAATTGTTGCATATTTTGGACACCAAACCCTAGGTCGATTTGACCTAGTTTGGTCCAAACTGGTTGGATCGAACCAATAGTTCGATGGGGTCTTATCACAGCCCCATGGGTCACGTTTTTGGTGGCTCAAAATCGGTTATGGCACAAGGGTTTGATAGCCTATCACATGGACCAATTCGGTCCACTCTTGAAAATCCATTTTTTGTTAAGTTAAAGCAACATCAGCCCATTTCATCATAACCGCTATATGGGCCAAACTGCTTCTTGCAGTTTAGCCCATATACCAAGATAAAACTATTGGATAATTTATGGGCCTTTAATGGGCTGATTGTGTGTTAACTTAAATTAATTAGGGTTTTACAACCCTTTAGATTGATTGGACCAATTTGTAATTGTGCTTCTGTGTGTGATGTGTTGTATGTGATTTGTTCATGGGCTATAAGTGCTTGGCCCATGTTTAGATGTATGTGGCTCTCTCCGAACATCATGGTTGAATGCGCATAATTGCCATGATGCCCATATATCATTGCATGATATATGTTTTCGATGGGCCCCTTGATCATCTTCCTCCCCAAGAGGAACCTCGCAGAACCCTAGCCTGATTTGGGCCCATTTGAATCTGACTTTATGAAAGTCAATGGAAGCCACTTTGGTATGACCTAAATCAGACCTAGGAACTATTTTGCTTATTTCCTCTGGATTAATATAAGTACAATGAAATAGGGAATATCATATGATGGATTCTCTAAAGGCCTTCCATCATTAGCATGAAAACGGGCTAAATCAGTGGGTGAAGATGCACCATAAAATTGGGTTATCTACTTTGCTGGTCCAACCGATTGGATTGTTTCATGAGATGATAGGGACATCATAGACTGAGGTGGGAGAAGCCTATCCTAAAATGGAAGACTTTCACGGTACCTTAGGTCCACGATATGACGGGTCAACACTTACCAGACAAAAAGGTTTAACCTAAAATGGCAATGAACCTTGTCTGATGGAGGCCAAAGGGAAAGCTCATTGGATGGGTGGATACTTGATCCTTCACAGAAAGCGGTGGGGTTTTGCAGCTGAAACATTTGGCTCTATGCACCTATGAGATTTCCCACATTTCCAGGGACATACACCGTGTCCTCGTCATTGAGATAGGAAGGAAATCTCGGAAATGAATAAATGGAGATGGAACATAAATAAAAGATTGTTCTATGTAAGATAACATGAAACAATTTTAGGTCGTGGACTAATATCTATTGCCTTTTATTAGAAATGGTGCATGGATAATTCGCCAAATTGTGGATGACAACAAACTTAAGGGGTCTAACTATGTTGACTGGTACGGTAACCTTAATCTGGTCCTTACGTCCGAGAGATTGGACAAGGTTGCCGAAAACCCAGTTTCAGAACGTCCGAGTGACAGGGCTTTTGAAGCATTTTGAAGGGAATATCAAGAGTGAAAGGAAAAGAACTCTCTTACCTAATGTTATGTCGTAGCATCTTTAGACAACTCTATCTAGAGACAATTTTATAAGATTAAAATCTACAAAGATATTATGGGTAGTCTAAAAACTATGTATGAGGAGCAGAATTGTTCTGGTAGACAAAAGGTCCTCAAGCTATTGATGACCACTAGGATGGCTGAGAGCCAATAGGTCTATGACTACACCATGCGGATGATGGGGTATATTAACGAACTGAAGGCTCTTGGATCCTAGCTACATGATGACACCAAAACCGATGCCATCCTAAACTCTTTACCTCCATCCTTCCATCAGTTTGTCATGAATTACAACATGAAAAAGCTAAAGGTTAGCCTTCAAGAACTCAACAATATGTTGCAAAGGGTTGAAGAACTGATAAAGAAGGACAAACCAGTAGCCATGCTTTTTGAAAGTGGCAAATCGGGAAAAAGAAAGAGAAATGGCAAGAAAAGGCCTCAGAAGAAAGTGGGCAAGCCGAAAAGGCAAAAGAAAGACAAATCATCATATGAGTGTCACTTCTGCAAACAGAATGAATATAGGAAGAGGAACTATCCTCAATATCTGGAATCCAAGAACAAAGAAGGTAATTTCGAATCTCTTGTCATAGAAACCAATATGTTGGTCATTTCTGCATCCTAGTGTATTGACTTTGGGGCTTCTACTCGTGCATGTAATATATTGCAGGGGTTCAAAGAAAGCAGAAGGCTGAATGACGACAAGGTGGCACTTTACTTGGGGACTTCTGTAACAGTTGCAGGTACAACTATAGGAACTGTAGATTTATTTTTCAAAGAAGGAATTGTAACTCTTAAAGATTGTCTTTATGTACCGTTACTTAGAAGAAATTTGATTTTAGTTTCCAAATTGTGTAAGGATGGTTATTCTGTTTTATTTAGTGATACGATTACTATTAAATTGAATAACAAATTCCTTACCTATTGAAATCTTGAGAATGGTCTCTATGTCCTCCGTCCTTTTCTGGAAATGAACATAATCAAAACTACATCAGAAATTATCCCCAAGAAGAGGTCATGTGATACGGTTAATCCCACGTGCCTTTGGCATTTCCGACTTAGACATATCCATATAGATATCACAAATTGGTGAAGGATGGTCCTTTGGATATTTTCTAACTATAGAACATCTACCAATTTGTGAATCTTGCCTTCAAGGTAAGATGACAAAACGGCCATTTACGGGTAAGCCTGAAAGATCTACTAGCACACTTGACTTGATACATATTGATGTATATGGTCTCCTCTCTCTCTCTCTCTCTCTCTCTCTCTCTCTCTCTCTCTCTCTCTCTCTATATATATATATATATATATATATATATATATAATGTTTTAAGAAAAAGGGTTTGCGAAAGGTTTTAATTCCCGGGATCCATCCGAGCAGAGAGTCCTTCCCTGTCAGGTAGTGGTTAATCATTATGGGCTGAGAGGTTAAGTGTAAGAGACCATTGAGAGATATATACCTGATGAGTTATATCTTACTTAAGTCCATTGTCCTTAGGCCTTCATAGGATGACTGGACTCAAGGATTATTTAATGTAAATGTTGGGCCCATTAAGAACCCATACGATGGATTCTGGGGTTCACTGTACCTGATAGTGAATTTGGCCAGGCCTTTTCACAGAGTCTGGGTTGAACCCATGTGGGCTTATGTAAGGTCATTGTTGGGGTCCCACGCTATACAAAGTGAACCTAAATGGGCTAGCAACTACGTAGGGACGTGAGCCACTTGCTTAATGGGCCTAAAGCCCATAATTAATTGGATTAGTCAAGTGGTCACATGACAACTTAAGCAACCATGTGACTTGGGTGAATATGGGTTTGGATAAGGGAATGGAGCACCCATTAGGATAAGAGGATAGATCGAACCTACTAATTGGATTAGGAGTGGTGCCTCTTAAGGTTTATAAAAGGATAGATCGAACTTCTCCAGTTACACATTCTGCTATCAGCTCTTTTTCTCTGCTATTATCGCCCCAGAAACCCTAATTTGTTCTCCATCTTTATGACTGATCTTGATCAGTTCCAGCTTCTGATTTTTGCAAGAAAATATCAGAATACCAGTTTCATCTCAAGCTGCGCCATCTTCAATGGAGGCTGATTTTGGGATTCACTTTAGGTGTGGACTACTACTTTGGGAGCTACATATGTGGAATCCGTATCAGGTATACTTCTCACTTCCTTTTGGTTCCAGAATTGGTCCAATTTCGATGCAAGAACAATCCTTAAAAAATACAGTTTTTCTAAAATTGAGAATATTAAAATTTTATTGAACCATCTAACATGGTTCGGCCATTTATATGATACATCTAACCTTCGTTCACAAAAACCATGAAATTAACTATGAATTACTAACTTCACCGATGATGAAGGCATTGCCCTCAAAGTCTCCTTACATAGACTTGATTTTTCCTGTAATATAGCTGTAAACCCAAGCTACTACCCCCAATAAAATTGGGCTATAGTGCTTTTTCTTGGCAGATTTTTTTTTTATTATTTGGTGATACGCCTGAATCCCTCGTTGAGTTGGCATATCTGCTGGAAACCAGCTAACTACCAAATGAGCCACTCCAAAACTCACCCTAATTTCTGGCATACATATATCTCTGACGAAATAAAGGTTATGAGCTCTATTTTAATATATACATGTTAATATATAAGCATCACATGTACTCCATTTCATTACTAAATCTCATTCACCAACAAGATCAACAACCCTCTTCCAAACTCACCCTAATTTCTCTCTTGAACAATGGTGATTAAGAAAGGTATCACCTTCTTTGTTGTCTCTTGCTGGTTTATCGTCATTCTCAGTCGGGTGAGATGTCGAAATATGTCATCATCAGAATACACCGACCAACAATGGCGTCTGCTGCATACTAACATCGGCTTATCAGCCATGCACATGCAGCTCCTCCATAACAACAAGGTCGTCATGTTTGATCGAACTGACTTCGGCCCGTCCAACCTCTCTCTACCACCCGGCCGATGCCGCTTTGATCCTAATGACACTGCTCTCAAGATTGACTGCACTGCCCACTCTTTATTGTACGACGTCGCCACTAACACTATCCGACCCTTAATGGTGCAGACCGACACCTGGTGTTCCTCTGGTGCCTTGCTTCCCGACGGTACTCTCTTGCAAACCGGTGGATACAACGATGGTGATCGCGCCATCCGCCAGCTAACTCCATGCAACAATGATGAATGCGATTGGATTGAATCCCCGGGATATCTTTCCGCAAAACGGTGGTATGCAACCAATCAGATACTACCCGATGGTCGTGTGATCATCCTTGGCGGGCGAAGAGAATTTAGTTATGAGTTCTATCCTCGGGGATCTTCATCAAACTCTTTCTGGCTCAATTTTTTGAGAGAAACGAGAGATAACGACGAGAACAACTTATACCCATTCCTGCATTTGTTACCAGATGGGAACTTGTTCATATTTGCTAACACGAGATCTATATCGTTTGATTATGTCCACAATCGCGTAGTTAGAGAGTTCCCACCGATCACCGGCGGCGAGCCTCGGAATTATCCGAGCTCTGGTTCGTCAGTCCTATTACCCCTCCAGCTCTTCGATGAAAATAGAGGTACAGGTACTCCAGCTGAGGTCTTGATCTGTGGCGGTGCACCAGCTGGCTCTTTCTCACAGGCGGGACGCGGTAGATTCATCCGTGCATGTTCGACGTGCGGACGGCTGAAGGTCACCGACCATGACCCGAAATGGATAATGGAGGAGATGCCAATGGCACGCGTGATGGGCGATATGTTGCTTCTACCGACCGGTGATGTGATAATCATTAACGGCGCCTGCTATGGTACCGCCGGTTGGGAAAATGCGAGGGATCCGGTCACTAAACCGGTTATTTACCGGACATATGAGTCGGCTAATAACCAGAGATTCTCAGTTATGCAGCCTTCGCCCACACCAAGACTATACCACTCAACAGCAGTGTTGTTACCGGACGGACGCATTTTAGTCGGAGGAAGCAACCCTCATCCGATCTACAGATTCACTGGCGCAGAGTACCCAACGGACCTTAGCTTAGAATCCTTCTCACCACCATATTTAGCACGAGAACATGCGGAAACCCGGCCGACGATTGTGGCCACCGGCGAGGTTTTGAAGTATGGCGAGCTCTTAACGGTTGATTTCACAGTGCAGGAGTATCAAAGTGCAACTGCGTTATCCGTGACGATTGTGGCACCATCTTTCACAACGCACTCAGTGGCGATGAACCAGAGACTGGTGGTACTAAGGGTTGCTGATGTTTCACATATCTCAGCCCATAGGTATCAATTGAAAGCCCATGGGCCTCCATCTGCTACCATTGCGCCAAGTGGATACTATCTTTTATTCGTTGTGCATGCTGGAATACCAAGTTCTGCTGTGTGGGTGAAAATCCAATAAGGTTTCTATGCTGCTTCTAAGTTACTTTTGTCTAGTCGATTTCAGACTAACAGTTTAGCAATTTTTTTATTTTCTTGTGGTGGGCTTACTTCTGAGTCTTGTTTCTCAATATTGGGACAAGGAATGGACTCAAACCTGAGATGGGCCGAATATGTTTTGGATGTCACCCTGTGCCCAATTGAGGGAAGTGAAAATACTACATTAACCCAGATATTAGACACATCCAAACAATTAACAAGGATATTGTTGTCATTTAATGCTTTTAATTGAGAAAGTGGTGCTAACTTTTTTTTTTATCATAAAGGAATTGCTCCAAGAGGTAGAGCAAGACCAGCAAGACCAGAAAAGAAGATGCACAAGAGTTCAATAATTGCCATATAAACTACATGGAGAATCGATTCCTTTATGATAAAGATCTTCTCTTATACCACTTCCATAAAATCAATTTGAAGTTGGGTTTTTGAAGTATAAATCTATCAAATATGAGTAGGCGTGCAAATGGATGGATCCGGTCCTATAAAGATTTCTTTTAAGTCCTCTATGCATGGCAACATTCCAATGTCATCCATGCTGTGCTTTTCGGGTGGGACCGGATCTAGTAAGCACAACATAAGTACATTAAATGAACCATTGATAAGTATTTTAACAATTGTAAAAAGTGGGTTTTAATATTTTTCAAGGGTGGGTGAGGGTATTTTAAGGGACAGGTGTCAAAATTTTTCAAGTGTTCATTAAACGTGCTTACAACATTGTGCCTATCTGATCCGAGCTAACAAAATATAAGGCACAGGTTCAGTTTGGGACAAGTACAAATGCAAACATATAGAGTGCAAAACCTTGTATTTTGCATGTACTTGCACTCTAGATATCTGTATTTGTACTCCTTTCAAACTAAGTCTATTTATATTTGCACTCCTTCCAAATTGAACCAAATTTGTGCAATAACCAAAAAAAAAAAAAAAAAAATCTTATGTTATTGCACAATAACTATTCGACTGTTGTTGCTGTTGAGCGGGACTCTACTATATTGTATGCTAGGCAAGTTGCCATTCCTAAGGCTCAAAGAAAAGAATATCCCGGGTCTATGATCTGGCAAGTGGCAACTAGGTTTTGTATGGCAAATGTTTTTTTATTATTAGGGTAAATTGCTGAAACCTCCCCTTAAATTTTTGTTGCTGAAACGCTCTCCTAAAGTTTGGTAATCACCTCTCCAAACCTTTCTGAATAGTTGCAAGTAAACCCCTCTATTAGAATCCTCTAAAAAGAGTCATAAAAATGTCTAAAATACTGATATAGTTATTTCTGACCAAAATGTTTA